AGAAGTTGGGCTTTATACGCCATTTTCTCAATGAATCATTTTTTGTGTGTAACGATGTGTCGCCATCTTAAAATGTTAACACAATATCTATAATTACAGTGACCTACTCAATGACGAAATACACTTGAGCCCTACTATATAACGGAGCGACACCCCAAGTTCTTTTAATGTGAGCTTTTTAAATTGGTAAACAACTTAAGTCGCAAATCGATCACCATACATTTTACACAGTMTGAAGAATAAAAGGTATTTTAATCAGCTAATTATATAATATTAAATCTTTTTAAAATGGAAAATTAATTAATTAAGAATTACAAAAGTTTGGCATCTTACTAGATTTTTGATCCGTCAACAAATACACGTAAATTGCACATTGCCTAAAAGGAATTTCGTGTCTCGGTAATTTAAATTATGGAAAATGACTTGGTACTATGGGAATTCTAAATATTGTTTCAAACACTGGAATAAAAAAAAAAAAATACTTTCGATCTTACATTGCGATATAAGATAATATATTAATACCTAATAATTATCAAATTCACTATGAAGTATTGGACGAAACAGAAACAAATTGGATAATATTCTTAAACAAACTTTAATCATTTACAATATTCTACTGAATTTATAATTTTTTCACAGCACGCTATCCCGTATACAAACATAATATGGATTTTCATTCATTGAACAACATTGCGTGTTATTSTTAATAGTAGTTTTATATTGTTTTAATGTCGATGGTACGAATGATAATTTTATCGTTCTCGTATATAACATTTTTTATTTATGTTGGTCAAAAATAATTTTTTCCTTTGTGGTGATAAATTATAAAGCTATTTTTTAAGTTCGTCGTTAAATGTGGTGAATTGGAATAAAAGCATCAGAAAATATAATGTTAKTTTAAAAGAAGTTTACATAAAAGTATAGCATGGTAAAAAATAAATAAATATGAATTTCTGACAATTAAATTTAAGAATGACCAATATAATATTTAATTTTTTTTTAAATATTAAATAAGATCATGACCTAATTGCAATTTTTATTTATTGATATAAAAATGTATTTATTATTGTAAATACTAAATTGTAATTAATTTTTACATTTTGATGTGAACTTAGTTACTTCTACGATAAATATACTATTTAAAAGCTAAATGTTTAGAATGCAATTGCTTAGGTTATTTTTACAGTCTGAAAAATATCTGACTTGATAATAATAAACAAAATAAATAAATTATGAAAGCAGTTAGATATGTTTTGTATGAATTAAAAATTATTTATAAGTTATTATAATATAACACCTAAGTCCTAAAGTATAACTACTCTTCAAATAAATAAATGTTATTGTTTTTTTTTTTAAATTATTATGATTACTATACATCACAAAAGCTATAAAAATTCGTTACTTCAAAACATATTTTTCACTCTGATTAAATTATAATAATATTTTTAATGAAAAAAGAAATATTTTTTTATCATTAAAACTTTTTTATTAAAAATATATTATTTTAATTTATGTTTTAGTTGTTGTCATAATTAAAATCATTAAAATTGTTCTCCCAAACAATGATTGAATACTAACAATATCATTGTGTATAAATATTATTATATACTTTTTTGACACACATTTAGTTTGTATACATAATATATTAAAATATACACAATTCTTGAAGAATAAAATGTAGGTGGATAATCTAATTGTAAATTTACTKTWATATAGGTTGGTCCTTATTTGAAAAAAGTTTTTATCACCATAGTACACTCCTGAAATGGCATGAAAAAAAATGTTCCTTTAGTTAAGATTTCAAAAATCAGTGATATAATAAATGTGTTGATGAGACCAAGTTTTACATTATGTTACATGCCATAATTTAAGAGTAGGTATCTAACAAATTTGATAACCGACTGTTCATTTCAATT